CCCCTGTGGAGCACATGACCCCCGAGGAGAGGCTGAGGGATTTGGTCTTGTTTACTCTGCAGAAAAGAAGAGTGAGGGGGGATTTGATGGCAGCCTCCAACTATCTGAAGGGGGGTTCCTAAGAGGGTGGAGAGAGGCTGTTCTCAGTGGGGGCAGATGGCAGAAGGAGGAGCAATGGGCTCAAGTTGCAGTGGGGGAGGTCTAGGTTGGCTATTAGGAAAAGCTCTTCTCCTAGGCAGGTGGGGAAGCGCTGGGCTGGGTTCCCTGGGGAGGGGGTGGAGTCTCCATCCCTAGAGGTGTTTAAGTCCCAGCTTGCCAGAGCCCTGGCTGGGCTGATTGAGTCGGGATCGGTCCTGCTTTGGTTGGGAGGCCGGACTCGATGACTCCTGAGGTCTCTTCCAGCCCTGAGATTCTCTGGGCTGAGATCACTAACCCAGCCTTGGGCCATGCTCTTCGGTGCCTGAGCACGTGAGTTTGCCTGGCAGACACGACCCCTAGAAAACGCCCCTTCCCTTCTGCTGTCTCCCCAGTGTATTCCTCGGAGGAGGGAGGGGGGCTTTATTTGAAGCAGAAGAAGCTGCTCATTTCCAGCCCTGTGTCAGATACAGACAGAGCGTTCTGTAGGGAGCCAGCTCACAGCTGCTGTTCCGAAAGGTGACACATGGAGGGACCAGGTGTCAGATGACAGCAGAAGCCTGCAAAGGCGGAAGGGAAAGTGCTGCTCAGAAGCAGATTTTGATACTAGCTTTGCTGGGTCAAAAAAAGAAAGGAAAAAAAATCCCGCCAGACAATTTGTTTTTCTGCTGTCCTCTGCCAGCCCTGATCCCCAATTCCACCCTTCCCCAATGGGACGCTTTCCCAGGCAAGCCAGGCCTGGGTACACACGGGGTTAATGCTCATGGATTTGTCACAATGACCCTCCAGGAAGCTCAAGACGGGCTGATCTTGTAACACAGAAGAGATGAAACGACTAATAGTTTCCATAAAAATAACAGAGCTCAGTCTCGGAACAGAGGCGACAGGCAGCTTCTGGGGGGCTTTAAAGGCTCCTAAAAATAGTCCCAGCTCCTCTGATGATGCCATCTCCAGAATTCCCCTGGTGCGTGTCCACACAAGGGTCAGGGTTACAGCAGGTCTTTCCTTCCTTCCTGGCTCGGCCGCCCCCAACACCGATCAGCGCTGCGCCTGGCAAGCGGTTGATTCTCTGCTCCTTGGCGGAGCGAGAGCCGGCAGGACTGCCCTGAACAAACGGTTCCCAGCAGATTACAGGGCAGAGGGGAGTGAGGGTTGGTTATTTTTAAGGGATTCCACACAAGGGTCAGGGTTACAGCAGGTCTTTCCTTCCTTCCTGGCTCGGCCGCCCCCAACACCGATCAGCGCTGCGCCTGGCAAGCGGTTGATTCTCTGCTCCTTGGCGGAGCGAGAGCCGGCAGGACTGCCCTGAACAAACGGTTCCCAGCAGATTACAGGGCAGAGGGGAGTGAGGGTTGGTTATTTTTAAGGGATCACC